CATAATTCAAGTTGGATGGTTGAAGTGGAGGAATGCATTGGGTTTATTATGTGATAGAAAAGTCCCCCTCAACCTTAAGGGAAAATTCTATAAGATGGTGGTGAGACCTGCAATGCTTTATGGTGCCGAATGTTGGCCTTTAAAAGAGAAGCATAATACTAAGTTAAGTGTTGCAGAGATGAGGATGCTTAGGTGGATGAGTGGCTTGACCCTTAGAGATAGGATACGAAATGAGCATATACGTGAAAAGGTTGGAGTAGCTCCAGTAGAAGATAAGTTTAGAGAGAGTCGCCTTAGATGGTTTGGTGACATTAAACGGAGGCTTTCCGATGACCCAGTTAGGAAAGTTGAGGTATTAGATTTGTCTTATGTTAAGAAAGGTAGGGGTAGACCTAAAAAGACTTGTTTAGAAAATGTTAGAAATGATCTATCCTTATTAGATTTAGATGACAATTTGACTTTTAACCGGACACAATGGCGAAAAGGATTCATGTAGCCGACCCCACGTAGTGGGACAAAGGCTTGATGTTGTTGTTGGCAATTTTCAATTAAAGGTATCAGATGCATCAATAAAATGTGTGGATAAAATTGATGTCGGAAGGATTAAGAAGAAAAATTGGAAGAATGAAGGTAACTTGGATAAAAATTGGGCATTCAGTTTAGCACCTCATGCTTAATAAAGACCATTGGATAAATAAAATTCATAAAATCAACCGCAAATGGTTGGGATAAGGTTGATGATGTTGTTGTTGGTAATCCTTAACACTAGGTTTTGAAGAGTAACTTGTCCCTTCTTTTGCTTAATAAATGTCCAATAAAAAACTATGAAGTCTCGTGCTAGATATGGGTTATTACGTTGAAAGATAAAGAAATTTGTCGCAAGTGATGTAATATGTTTTAGGGTTTACCGGTTTAGTGTTTTTAATTCAAAACTGATATGAGAGGTATTATTAAAATCATGTAATACATGCACAAAGATGTGCAGTCTACAAACTAATAATTTTAACAATTACTTGTTACTTGTGATTGAAAAAAAGAACTATAAGGACTTCATTGCAGATGATTGTTTAATAGTTTTCTACTAGAAGCAATGTGTAATAATTTGGAACCATGAAAAATCATGCAAAATACTTTTTTGACGCCCCTGCAAGAAATAAAAGTACTGAGAGTGGGGAGATGTTCATAAAAACGCTGGGGTGTTGATATTTTTATGAACTTCTTTAGCATGCTCTCATTTACATCAGAGATTATTCATTATAAAGTATCAAACTTTGTTGTTGTTGTTTTTTAATTTCTGGTATTAAAATGGGATTAATCAATGACTTTAATATCCTGATCTATGAGGTTTTTAATTTTCTCCACTCGTTGATTTCCTCTCTCTCTCTCTATTCCTTCCTTGCTCCCTCTTTCTCTATCACACAGACACATGCACACGTACAAAATATGCAAGTCAGGATGAAAACCTAGCATGCTAACTCTTGAGCCTAATAATCTTTGACATGCTTTCCTTCTTGGAATTGTATCTTCTGTTTGGTTATCATTTCAGCTCAATGTCTTGTGTTTAGAATGTAAGGTATAGTTTACTTTACGTGGGTATTTGTGATCAAGTTGGTAATGTCTATATAGTATGGTTATCTTTCTATATAAATTCAAGCTATTTGTCAACCATTTTTATTTTCAAATCTAGAATGCACTTGAGGTGGGTCGAGGAGTAGCATTTAGATTAACTCTATTGTGATATGGAGGTTATATGTTCAAATCATGTAATAGCCTTTTTGCAATTTATTGTATTACTGCCCTTATTTACCTTTTTTTAGTTTCCTGCATTGATAGGAGCTTCATGTATTTGGTATGTCCTTTTTATTTCTAAACTTTTTAAGTACTTTCGCCATTTCCATCATAAATAACAATTTGCGTTTGATCTAACCCACATTACAAAATAGTAACTTTTGTAAAATTCATGCAGGAACATCTTTTTATTGTGTGTGAGTTGCTTCGAGCAAATCTATTTGAATTCCAAAAATTTAATCAGGATTCAGGCGGGGATATTTATTTCACATTACGCAGGATACAGGTAATTTTTTTAGTAATTTAAAAAATGTTATAAGTTGGCTTAAATTTGTTCAATTTTGAGAAATCTATATAGGAGACCAACAAGTCTTTCATTAAGGAGAGTTTTGCCACAAGTGAGCTCTCATATTTATAAATATTTTTGTGTTTCAATTTCAAAATGCTATTATTCTTAGGAAGAAATTAACAGAGAAGTAAATCTAAATGAATATTTCTAGATGATTGAATTATGTTATAGTATTGCATGTTCTATTTAGAATGATGACAGTCATTAGTAGAAAGTGTTGAGCTGAAAAAATGTAATAATAAGAAAAGAAAAAAACATAGCTCTAATTCACGTTGTGCCTACACATTTGTGGCTCGGACCACACGCTACTCACAATCCCTTGCTACACGTTAGCACGATCTATTTGGAACCCCTATCCTCCTAAACCTATGATTTGCTCACCCTTTCTAGTCTCTACTTGCTATAGTGCCATTGTCTAGCGCACTCATGCACATCTTTGACTCCCATACCCCTCCTATATTGTGGAAATTATTGGGTTCGGACACCGGACATAGCTTACGTTCGGAACTTTTCAGTACTGAGCTCGGTATTGTGAAGTACTGAGTACCAAGCAGTACCGAGTAGGAGGTGATGTGGTGCATTTTCATTGGCTCCGGATGTCGTCCGGTGTCTGAACCTAATAATTTCCCCCTATGTTGGCCCCTTGTTCCTCTAATGCTCGTGAAGAAAAGCCCTATGACATGTCTCTCTCTCTCCTCCACTGTAATTAATCTGTTGTGGAGCTCTTGTTTCCCTTAATCTCTCATGCTATTGATCTCTCTTCCCACCTCTCTGTTTATCTTCCCCATCATCAACTTTATGTGCTCACAAAGGTTGGTTATATAATACATATTGATTATAAGATTACTTGTTATGTTTGAGACATTGATTTTTATAAATGGAAAACTCAGTTATGTTATTATGTAGAACATACCAAGCTTGTTAAATATATTTTTACTTTGAAAGATGTGCAAATTAATCAAGACATTATCAAAGGCAATTAATGATTAAAGCACCATTATGGACCTCATTAAAAGCTATAAATAATAGCTATATACTAATTATATGTTGGCACATGGATAATCTTACTACAACATTGAAATGTGATCTGACATGTAAACGCTTTCAAATCATCCTAATCTACATTGAGGTTCCTAATTTATCATAAAAAAACTTCATACTTGTTTTCAAGATTATGATGTCAACCCAATTGATTTGGAAAATATGCCAAGCCCTTGAGATTAGTCTTATTTATTCCCTTTTTATCCAAGGTCTCTAGCAAGTCATTGCTTTAATATGCACACTAAAATGTCTTATATTGCATACCAAAATTAAATCAACTTAATGATACAGCGGAAGCTGCAACAACCCCCAAGGGGTAGACCCAGGAAACCCCGGACCGGCCAGTCCTACAATTTCCAGCCCAGGAGGAGGACGGCGGATAGGGAGGGGAAGTCAGCTGAGGATGTAGGGCCTAGCAAGGAGTTAATTTTATATGTTAGGAGAGGATCAATTAGGAAAGGATTTCCTAATTGAAATTCAAATAGGAGAGGGAAATACATAAGGAAAGATGGCTGATTTAGGAGGGAATAAAGGAGCTTATTTAAGTCTAAGATTAAATTTTATTTTCTTTTTGCATAATTTTGTGAGTTTGTTCCGTCTACTGTTTTTGTGAGCGATCCTAGCGGCATCTAGGGTTTGGGAGAAAAAGGTCCTCCTCTCGAAAGAGGAACATTGTATCTTGCTTGTTTATATTTCGTTTCTTTCTCAATAAAAATATATGGTTTGTTAAATATATCGGTTATTTGGCCTTTAGAGTGAGGTTGCAAGACCCATTGACACCGAAAAAATGAACAGCTGCATTTGCTTTTAACCCTAGTTCTATTGCCAAACATATTACTAGACTATCTAAACAAAAGGTTCAGTGCTAAAAATAATTCTAACTTACTGATATTACAGTGCTGAGAAACACAACAAATTTACAAGAAACAGAGGAAAGCCACACAAATAAAAAGGAAAATTAATATGAGCAGCAAGAGAAAGCTAAAGGCTAACCAAAGCAACAAACACCGTAATTCCTACAAAGCTGCTTTATATCAGAATGAATAAATCGTTAAATTAAAACCTTAGTCTACAATGACTGCTAGCTATTCAGTTATTAGACTGGTTAGATGTAGGAAATTAGAACTTATCTAAGAATTTTGATAGATCGGAAGTCTTGCTTTCTTCCAAGAATCCTAGAAACTTGTCAGCACCCAACAGGACTTCAATGGTACCACAATCTCCTTCTTGCTTCAAGAAATCAGCCCCTATATATAAATTCATAAGACACCAAAAAAGAAACATTGGCCAGATCCTTGTATAAGGCATTTCAACGAACAATATTAGAAGGAAATATAGCCTGATGGAAATTAGTCAGAAGGTAGTTATTTGTTTCTTGAATTTGCAGGACTTTTTTGCTTGTGCGATAGTCACAAGGTTCAGTCCATGAATCAGTTGGACCAACACTTGGACTCAAGGAGCCGTGGCTCATCCCACAGTGAGGCCAGCCAATAAGGCTAGTGGGAGTTAGAAAGTTGATTGATTCTTACTTTGCTGCAAGGAAGAAGCCAGGAATTCAGGTTCTTGAAAATCTGGTTGGCTGGAAATGGCCAGACTGTGACCTGACCGGTGGTTCCAAGGTCGGAAAGGGCTGATGCCTGCGTGGAAGCTGCTGCTGGTGGAGAGGAAAAACTGCTGTTGGCGAAGAAGGTGCAAAGACAGGCGGGGGAGAGCAAAGGCGGTGAGAGAATGATATTGAAGTCCAAGACACTAGAAACCCTCAGCCCTCTTCTCTCAAGCGTTATGGGAAATCTACCCCAAGAAAAATGATCTTTCTCTACCTTATCAGATTTTCAAATCTGAAATCAAACTAAAAAAAAAATCTCCCTCTCAAATGAACAATAGGTATTTATAGAAAGCGAAGGATTTAAAGAAGCAACAAATTACCATACTACCCCTATTTAAAAATCAGCAAATAAAATCAAGAAAAAAAAAGTAAATAATAAAAAACCTAATTAAATAAAAAGCTTAAAGTTAAAACAATTAAAATCTTATCACCCATCTTATAGTCCATCTTGCCTATTTGGTGAGGTGACAAAGACCCGCTATATGGTAATTCCAAAGTATGTGTTTTAACTCCCAAAATTCAAATCAAATTAATTCCAAATATCAAACATTAATCAAGGATTTAAATGAAAATTATTAGATTTACTTCATCATTATGGTTATAAATCTAACTTACTTTTCTTTCAATGAATATAATCTCCAATTCAAGTAGTTGGGCCAACCCAAAGCCTACTTAAACCGACCACTTTACCTATATGCTAATGCCTTAAGCCTTGTGATTGGGCTTACCTTTTCCTTGAGATTATAAATCACGTATATTGGTTTTTCAATGAATTTATGCCCCATTTATTGCATTTTAATGGTTGTAAGCTCCGTTCCAGACCATTTGGTCATACAATCAATGTCTTGAAGTTTTCAATTATGCTTTGGGCCCTTGATTTGGGCTCATTCAGGCTCGGATTGGATCACACTTTGCATTGTTGGTTTATTTTGTCAAGACTTTCAATTCAACTATAATTTGGGGCCTTTGGGCTCATTCGGGCTCGGATTGGATCACCTTTTGTCGATGGTCCCGAATTTAATTTTGAATGTTTCCAACTCAAATATGCCTCAAGATTCGTGTCTGATCAAGGTAATTTATGATGACCTATCAATGATAATGAGCAATTATATTTGGTTGTGACCATGTGTTGTCACCTAGCTTTCTAGATTTTGACCATAAAGCTCAGTTAATTTGCTTTGAAGTGAATTTATATAAAACTACTCCCATGTATAGCAAGGGAATTTTAGAAGACAATCTAACTTTACCCTTTTAGGTTCACGTGTTAATTAATTCAACTATTTTTTTGGCTCCTTGAGCTTGTTAAGATAATTGCCTCATGGCAAAGTTCGTAGACCTATCAAACTGGTTATGGTGTGAATGTGTAAATTTTGTTGGAAGAACTTATTAAATTTGCATGGTTAGTTCGACCCATAAGTTTATGAGCCGAGAATATAATGGCCTGGCTTTTGGACTTATTACGCCAATGAAAATGCATCATACATTTGATTGTTAGAGATTTTTTTATATCATAACCCTTCTCTTAGATTTGTTGAGTTAGGAGATATCTATTGATTGGTTATAGTCGAATTACTCGACGAGACAAATCCAACAAGCTCAAGATCACTTAACCTTGACATTATCAAGGCACATAAATGCTGAAGAAATGTTTGATCAAGAGAATCAATACGGACTATCTGAGTGCTTCGAATTTTCCATATTTATAGGGCATGCCACTCCTAAAAATCTATAAATATACCACTCCCTACATTAGGTGGACCCTTTGCTAGAGATTCAATAAAGCTTAAAGGTTTGGTGAATCTTAGTGATCCACCCAAGCATCACTACAAGCGAACCCTCGTTGGTCGACTGCCATAGTCGGACCTTCTTTGCCTGATCGCCACCATAGGTTTTTTACCGGCCAACCATTGCTGTTAAACTTCTGCTTGCCGACCACCATTGCCAGAATTTCGTTGATTAATCATCACCATTGGAACTCCGTTGCCCGACCGTCACGGTCGAACATTTCGTCATTGTTGGACCTTTGTTCTGCCATTGTCGCTAGACCTTCGCTTGGCCATTGCCGTTCGACCTTTGTCGACCATCACCATCGACCTTTCTTCGGCCAATCATCGTTGTTAGACTTTTGCCCGCTAACAACCACTGCAACACCTTTCGTCGGCCGACCACCATCGTAGCATCATTCATCATCCAATCGCCGCAGTTGGACCTCCTCTATTGAGCCCTGACCATTCAACTCCAAATGTCTATGTGGACTCTGCCACTATTTCTAATAATTCTCCAAACAATTGTAATTATAGTCTTCAAGTTAAGGGATGTGCCAATCTTTGTGCAAAGCTAGGATATAGAACTCTCTCACTCTACCGCCGCTAACTTTCTAGCCCACAACAATGATGATAATTTCTTTCAATTCACATATCTAAAGGACATTATTTTGTTGATTCAATAAGCTAAAAAAGAAAAAGAAATCATCATATAAATTTCAAGATCATCGTGTCTGAGTATCGAGCTTGAACATTAAGTTATAGTCAAACAAGCCGAGGCCTAGACTTGCATTCTTAGTTTAGTTTAGAAAACCTCATGGTCTAGTTGTTTTGCTGATTCAATAATTTCCACGATCTAAGTCGTTACTCAAGCTCAACGAGTACAAGGGCCTTGCTTGAATATCATGTTATAGTTCAACAAGCCCTAGAGCTAAGTTAGTAAAACTCCATAGCTCACAAATCGAAATGTTGAACTATTTTGTTGATTCAATAAGCTCTAATGACCATGCCCGTGAACAAATTCTAAGCTGAACAAGTCTAAAGAATTAAGTTCTGATACAAAATTCTAGTTTAATAAGCCGAAGGTTTGAACTGGCAAGGCTTCGCAGCTCACAAACCTAAATGCTAATTTGCTTTGATGATTCATAGGTTTTAGAAGCTGAGTTAGCACATAAGTTCAAGTTCAATAAATCTGAAAAATCAAGTTTGAATTTCAAAGTCCCAATTTAACATGCTTAAGTGTATAACTAGTGAAACCTGTCCAATCATACACTTAATAAGAACAACAAATCAATCTATATCTATCAAATGCATCAACATATTTTTGGTTATTTGATCCAATTATTTTAAAAAGGTTTGTGATTTTCATAATAAAAATTTATTTATAATTTCTAGAACTCTATCTTTCTCTCTCTATATATATTACCACAGAAGTCCTCTTAGTGGATAAAACTTTGTTTAAGGATATAACTTTGTATAGTTGACACGCACATTCTAATTTAAAGTTAAGATCTTGCTAGAATGGGTGCAATCTATTAAAACTTTCATTAAGCTAATTAAATAATTTAGATATTAATTTCTAAGCAATTTTAATTTGAAAACTACATAGAATTATATAATAAATTACATACATGCAACAAATTAATTTACTTTTAAATATTTAAATAAATAAATATTTTACAAGCATGCATAAAAATTAAAAAGAAATTTAATTTAAAATGTTTAAATATTAATTAGCGAAAATATATCTAACTAAAATTTACTAACATAGACCTAACATGAATCTAAGGAAAAAAATGCAGATCTTTTAAAAAAAAAATATAGAACTAGGGAAAAAAAGTTGAAGATAAAAAATTTATAAATTAAAAAAAAGTATGTGTTTAACAATATTAAATACATATAGCTAACATAGATCTAATAAGAAAAATATAAATATAAAGAAAAAACATAGTTCTAATATTATATGGAACACAAATCAAACAAATTAATAAAAAAAATCTAAAAAAATACTTACATCGCTAAAATTGGAGAACTTTAGGGATGAAATTTGAAATCTTGGTTTGTTGAAAATGGAGGGCATTACCAATCTTTATATATAAAGAGGAATTTAGTAGATCAAGCTTAAATGGAGCAAGCAAGTTGGTGGAATAGGGTAGGCGGCTATTGGGTCAAAGGAAGGGCTCCAAGAAATGAGGGAAGAAGGGGCCTCAGTGGAAATAAATCAGGTTACGGATTGACTTTTTGATTGATTTTTCACCAGAAAATTTACACTTATGTTCGATCAAATTTCTAGCAGAAAATCCTATGGGATTTCTAGCAGATTTGGTCTATCATTAGGGTCGTTGGCATTGCCCTATTTTTATGTAGCATGCACGCCAAAAAAAGCCAACATCTAATCTACACTAGGATCTGCACGATCATACCTCATTATGATCTCTTCAGACCCATGCAACTTGCATGCTCGCGTTAAAACTAATGTGCCATTAATCTTTTGCATTCATGCGCACACGTCCATGAGATCACATTATGGCTCGTTTCCTCCTAAACCCATGATTCACTCGCACTCTCTGGACTTGTCTCTCAACTGTGCCTTTGCACCTCCTTTATTTTCTTTAATGCTTCTACACGGCTCACCTCCCATACCCCTAGTTCGGTGCTCTCCCTTCTCCTGATGCCCATGGAGTAAATCATTCTAGCTTGTGCCTCCCAACGAACATCTCTTGTTTGTCTTCTTGTCCTCCAATGTACAAGATCTCTCTTCCTCTCTCTCTCTCTCTCTCTCTCTCTCTCTCTCTCTCTCTTTCTCTCTCTCTCTCTCCCCTTCTCTTCCCCTTGCACTCTGCTTTGTTCTCCTGACACTCACATGGGCTCTCGCATGATCCAATCACGTTATTCCTCTACACTGTGTGAATCCATCCTCAACCCATCCTCAATTCCTCTTCTTTCCCCTTGGTGAACCCTACTCGTGGTCTCTCACATGATTTTACTCGTCACCATAGTGTCTCCCCCAACTCTTGCACGCTCTAATTTTGCATCCGTCTTCACTCAACCTCACATTCAATAAACTACATGTAATGAAGGCCTTCATGTCGTGTTGATATTTGATTCAGCTGAAATTTAGCCGCCCTTTATTGATCTTTTACATGAGTTCGAAGGGATGAATGTTCTCCTTTAACGGTTATGCTTGAACAAAACTTGGCGGTAACCTCGTTGTTGTTAGGTAGTGGTTGGTATGACCGTCATGTGGTCTCAGCCTTCTCACATCACATACCCTTGATCTCTAAGCAGAGGTACATGGGGGCATTGTTCAATGTTGAAACCATAGATAAGGGAAATGTGTCGATGGAGTGTTTCTGCCGTGATCAAAGAACCACTATAGGTCAACAACATCTATGAATAATGCATGAATATCAATTATGTATGATGCTTTTACAATCATTTTTTTGTATTGAGAAGCATGCAAACAAACATAAGGCTCTTAAATAACCCTAAACTTATATGACGGTTTCAACAAACCTCAAAATAACCTCTTTAGGTTTTTCTTCAAACTTATAATGTCAAACCAGTTGATCGAGTAAATAGGTTAAAGGCCAAAGTTAATGCGATTGACTCCTGGTTGATCCAAGGGTATTTATGAGTTATCGCTTTTATGCTTGTTAAAATATGCACTACATCAACTACTAAAATCAAACCAAACTAACTAAACGAGTCACCTTGCCTGCATAATGAGGTTGTAAAACCCACCATGTTGGTCACTTTGCATGTAGGGGTGATAAGATCCGCTATTGGGCAACTCATAAGTAGAGTTATAAGCCCCAACTTTAAATCATGTTAATTCCTAATATTAAACATAAATCAAGAATTCAAATGACAAATATTGAGTTTTTCTCATCATCAAGGTTACATTAATGAGTTTCCCAATGAATATAAGCCCCAACTCAATTAATTGGTTGACACAAAGCCAACAAGGCCATTAAATTAAACAAACTTAATCAAGTCATTTTATTTATAGGGTAAGTCCATAAGACTTATTACTAGGCTTTCCTTGTTCTTAAGATTGTAAGTCCTGCTTAATAGCCTTTTAATGAATATATAAGCCATATTTCAAATTTCAATTAATTTGGGTCTACACAAAGGCAAAAGACCTTTTAAATCAAATACGAGCCTTTTAACAGATGTTAAATCTAACACAAACTAAACTTTAGCCACCCTTAATGTTAGCAAGCCCATCAATTAAAATCAAATCCACCAATCATTTAAAAATGCTACATACTTTGTGCCTCTAAACTATTTAGTTTAAATTGGTGCAACCAACTCTTTTTCAATAAAACCAATCGACATCAATCTCGCAAGAATGTTATTGGCACGCATTTTCACTTATCTTTATTGGGATTCATGAGAGACAATCCACGATTGCTAATCTGGTTTCCTAGATGTTATACCCGTTTGGTGTTGGTAGATTCTATTGGCATAATTGAAGGGATAATAGGATCTTTATCGTCTCTACTTGACCCTTCAATAATTTCTCCCTGAATTAATTCGAAGAAAGTATTAAATGTGACCCTTAAAGTAAGCCTAAGCATCTTTCATAATCTAGAATGCTCTTCCACGAGGCAGATGGATTGTTAACTGTGGACTTGCGTAGTTTCGAACTCATTTTAATTTTGAATCTACGAGCATATCCTAATTATGAACCATAAGTTTTATTTTTGTTCACTGAGCATACAAGCATCATAAATATCATCTGAAGTTGCTTTTCCTTGAAAGAAGAAAAGGTGCTGTTTCTTTTATTTAAATTTGAATTTATGACGTTTTAAACTATACGTTCATGTTTTACTCAACGTTCTAAGCAGGAAAATGCTACAAAATAGCAAACATGACAATTGGAAAAAACTCTTTATTCTCAGGCCATAACTCGGCAGTGTCTTGAGGCTTTGGAGTTCCTGCATCATTTGAAAATAATCCATTGTGATCTGAAGCCTGAGAATATTCTCATTAAGAGCTACAGCAGGTGTGAAGTGAAGGTTATTGATCTTGGAAGTAGTTGCTTCCTGACAGACAACTTATGTTTATATGTGCAATCTCGTTCTTATAGAGCTCCAGAAGTTATTCTTGGTCTGCCCTATGATGAAAAAATTGATATGTGGTCTCTTGGTTGTATCTTAGCCGAGCTCTACACTGGTGATGTATGCTCTCTCTCTCTTAAAGGAATATATATATATATATATATATATATATAATCAAATTAATCATATTGTTTTTTCATCTTAATATATATTTTTAAGATGGTAGTTTCAATAGCTCTTTTGTTGGGTTTTTGGTTTAAATATCTGTAACCATCCAACAAAATATTTGCATGTATCTTTCCTTGCAATTAATCATTGAACTGACATGATTTAGGCCGATTTGTGATACATGTGTCATGATATCTAAGGCTCTTACGATATTGTTGTCTCAAAATTGAAGAAAATATTACTGATCGAAATTTTTAGATGACATTCTGAAAGCTAGCTCTTTCCTCTTCAATCTCCTGAAAATAAAGAAAAAGAAGAGAGAGAAAACAAAAACTCAAGTTCCCGAAAGTAAATCATGTATTCTGAATGTAGAAAATACAAATGTATAACTTATGTTTAAATGTTTACTTTAGATTTGATAATGCATTTCTACCTTTTTAGATGATTCCATGATCATTAAATACTGGTGACGCACTATTATAAATTCACTTATTCAATTATTGAACAATCTTCACCTCTAATGCGCATCCCAAACTTATAACTATGGTAGTAAAATCACCCAATAACAAATTTGTTTACATAAATCACTCCTCTTATTTCTGTACCATCTTGGGGTCTCTAATAAGTTGTTCTATAGCTAATGGCCATTATGTCTTAATTTAGAAAAGGGATTTTTTCTTACATCTGCCATTACTTTTGATCTACTTTATCATCTGCAAGAAACGTGGACGAATTTGCAATCTGACTGGCGAATTTTTCACTCTGTATAGGTTCTGTTTCTAAATGACTCGCCTACAATGATGCTTGCTCGAATGATAGGAATATTTGGTCCTTTTGACATAGACATGCTTGACAATGGTCAGGAAGCGCACAAGTATTTCACCGAAGACTATGATATGTATTACAAAAATGAGGTTTGCTTCAACTTATCATCAATTGCATTATTTATCTTTCTAATCTCATGCTAATTAGTTAAATTTTATTTACTTTATTAAAAGAAAAACATATATTTAACTCTTTTAACTTTTATGTAGCCGATCCCATGTAGTCGGACAAAGGCTTGATGATGATGGTGTTGTTGTTGTAACCTTTTTTGGTTTGACAGTAAAAGCAATGTAAGACATTGATTAAATAGCCTAACTAAAGTTTCGTTTGAGACGGTTTTTCTTACTGCTCTTAAAGTAGCTTTTTTTGTTAAAAAATTTCAATTTTTTGTATTAAAAATTTATTTTAAGAAGCAGTAAAAAAGCCGCCCCAAAAGAAGCCTAAGGCTTCATTTGGTTATTCTGTACTTTTCCTAAAAGGTAGTTTTTTAGGTAGTTTTAAAACTGTTGTTTGAGAGAACCGAGTTTTCTAATGGAGAAATTAATATCATAAAGCTTTTGAAAAACAATACAAAAATATAATTCTCTAAAAAACATTTCTGCAAAAGTGACACGTACAAACAACTGTAAAAAAAAATTTCTACAGTTTTGAAACAGAAAAGACAAAATTAAGCCTTCTCAAACGAGGCATAAGTGGCATATCACATGAGTATTTATTGTAGGTCATAAAGACATTTTTCCTTCATTTATTTGAATATTTGTTTATCTTTGGGATTGATTGTAATATGCAAATTAATTGATTAATCATGAATTATACTTTATTCAAATCAAAATCAGCCGGCGTAATCTTTCTTCTTGCTATTCTAGCTATTCTAGCTATTCTAGTAGAAATTTATCGGCCATCTTTTTTTCATGAAATTAATTTATTTTGTTTTCTTCACCCAGGAAACAGATAAAATAGAGTATCTCATACCAGAGAAATCCTCACTGGCCTACCAGCTGCAAGTAAACGATGCAGCCTTTCTTGATTTCCTTGGTCATCTTCTCCAACTAAACCCTAAGCGTAGATTAACTGCAAGCCAAGCCCTGAAACACCGATGGCTCTCTATCTCCTACGACTGAAGACTTCTCACAATACTTGTTCAAAATTCTTCCTCTTCTTCCTTCCGGAAATGGTGAATATTCTGACCACATGAGTGTCTTATTGTTTGTTGTCACATGAATTTTTGTTTGTTTTTTCCTCGATGAGAATGATTGTGTAAATAATTTCTGATGACAAGTGGAAAATATATAGTGATTTCCTTCTTTTGTTTTTAAGAAATATTCATAGATTTTTTTTTAATAAAATTTTGGAAATCTGATGTGTGAAATCAACAAATGTCTTACATTTTATCCTCTAGCCACGCTTTGTTTGGGACAATTTTTAATTGTTTTTAAAATATATTTTTATTGCAAAATTTTTAATTCAAAAAAATTTTATATTAGAAAAATTGTTTTAGAAAGCAGCAAAAAATTAAGCCTAAAATTAGATTTGACAGAAGTTTAAATTCTAGCAATTTTGTTACTTTTAAACAAAAATAATATTTTAATTAATCATCTATTGATTTAGTTCTTAATTAATACAAATAAAAAACTAATTAAGAAATATTCATAAAAAGCAATGTATGCTTGGGTGGAGCACTAAAATGTGGCTTTCTAGTTCTTAAGACTGATTTTTCTTGTTAGCTGAGTTTTAAAAATAAGAGTCCAATTTTTATATAAATTTAATAAAAAAGAAATTGTTTTTAGCAGTTTCTAATCAAAATTGTTTAGGGCTGTTTTTAAATTTTTTTAATATAGGTCAGATTTAGTACATCTCTTTTAATTGAGTTGTCTTAAGATCAATATTTAATGTAATTAAGGCTTCGTTTGGAACGGTTTATTTAATTTTTTTTAAAGTGATTTTTTTAATAAAAAAATTTATTTTTATATTAAACAGTTATTTTAAGAAGTAATAAAAAAGTCGTTTCAAATGAATCCTGAATCATCTAAAATGACTCTTTTTAATCTTATTTATTATTAAAGTTAAATCAAATAACCAAACATCATAATTTTATCTAATGATGCCTAAAAAAGGAAATGGGGAAATTACACAAATTTGCTTTGAATTTTCAAAAAAACCATTTTCTTAAACAAATAAAATCATAAATGACAATCTTGCCATTATTTAGATCAAGCCGATATTGGCCAATTTATAATAAAGAAAAAGAAAATTCAAACTTATTTTGTTCAACCCTCAGCAGCGAAATGATACTTCAGTATAATGTTATTTATATATATTTTTGTCAATTGTGTCAAATAAAAAAATAAAAAAATTAGGGCCGCACAAATTGAGAAATTGTTTGGTGATGAGATTGAGGCATATTACAAATGACGTGCTATAATGACTAGGGGTGCAACCGAGTCAAGTCGGCTCGGGCTCGACTCGGTAACAGGCTCATCGAGCTGAGTTAATCGAGCTCGCGAGTCAAGCTTGAACACAATTTCAAGCTCAAAGGCTTACTGAGCTCGAACAGGCATCGTACTCGACTCGTTGGATCGACTAGCAGCTCGACTGGGCGGGATTCACGGGAACGAGCTCGGGACGACGACGGCGGATTGGATCTCGATGGAGGAACTCGTAACGGACACGACGACGATGGCGAAGCTCGGAATGGATGCGACGACGACGGCGAAGCTCGGGATTTAGCTCGACCATAACTGACATCGGGATTGAGCTTGACCATGACAAGGATGACAGACTAAGCTCAGAACATATGCGAAGACGACGGTGGAGCTCGGGATTGAGCTCGACGATGACGAGGATGACAGACTGAGCACGAAACGGATGATGACGATGACGTTGGAGCTCGGGATTGAGCTCGACCACGAAGGACCTCGAGATTGAGCTCGACGATGACGAGGATGATGGAATGAGCTTGAAACGGACGATGACGACGAACTGAGCTCGACAACGATGACGGACTGATCTCGAGGCGACGACAACATTTTGTGCTTGGATTGAGCTTGACGAGCCGCTCGACATGAGACAAGTCGAGCTCGAGCTCATATTTTGAGCTCGACTCGAGTTTGAGCTCAAGCTCAGTATCTGATAGTCGAGCTCGACTCGAACAACCCCTGGTTCAAGCTCGACTCGACTCGATTGCACCCCTAATAATGACCGATACATTTGTCCAAAAAATCCGCCGAATTTATAAAATTACATTATTACCGTACCACGAACTTTTGTTGCTTTTGACCAACGAATGGGTGAGGGGCAAATTATTAGGTGCGGACACCGGACATCGTCTAGAGACTAATAAAAATGTGTCACATCACCTCAAAAGTGTACAACACTCGGTACCGAGCACGATACCAAGCGGTACCGAGCGTCGATACTGCTCGGTACCAAGTGGTACCGGACGGTTTTCCCATCCGGTGTTCGCACAGAATAATCTCTCATGTCGAGAGAGGGGGAGGGGGGGGAACCGGAAAATTAATAGTTTTATTAATTTTGATTTAAAATGACCATATTCTTAGTGCTTTTAATAATAAATATAATTAAAAAAATTATGTGCTTGATTGGGAAATAATCGATCAGAGTATATTTATATATATGATAATTTAAATTCTATATTTGTTTTATAACTGATATATCATTAAAAAATTATCTTGATCAAGCACGAATCTTGAAGCAAAATTGAGTTGTAAGCTTATGAAATTAAATCTGGGATCATCCGAACTCCGATTAGTCGATTATAGTAAACTTATAGTTTAACTGAACGTCTCAGAAAGACAAACCCATCGACAACAAATTCAGCTAGATCCAAGCACAAATGAGTCCAAATCAAGGGTCCAAAGTATATTTGAACTGTTCAAAGCTCAATTTGAAATACCAAATGAACTCTAAAGATTACATACTTATAATCAAATTGAGCAGCTCGACGAGACAAATTGAACGAGCCCAAGATCACTGAATTTTGATATCATTAAGGCTTCTAAATGACCAGTAAATGGCCCATGATCAAGGGGATCAATATCGACCGTCCATTCAAACCACTCCCATTTTAATCTTGACCCTCCACATATTTACAAGTCATCCCACCATAAAAAAATTATAAATAACTCACATTCTTTTCATAAGAGAGGGGGAAGAAGGAGAGAAGTGAGGAGTTTTGGAGCTCTCTTGCCACTGACCACCGCCGGAGTTTTTATCGATCAATGCCGGAGTTCTGTCCAATCGTCGTTGGAGTTTTCTTCCCATTCTTCGTCAAAGTTCTTCCCAACCGTTGGAGTTCTTCTCAACCGTCGCTAGAGCTTTCTTCTCGACCGTCGTCGGAGTTTTCTTCCTGACCATCGTCGGAGTTTCTTCCAGACCATCGCCGAAGTTTATTCCTGACCGTCACTGAAGTTTTTCTTAACCACTGCTTTACTTTCGCCCATTCATTAATCATCACCAGATTTCTGTCTGATTATTCAATATGTTGTAACTCCATCATCTCCAAGTAAAGGGGAGAATCAAACTTTGTAATACATCCAAATTTACTGGAATTTTCTCATATGGGCCATGCCTTGTGGTTTTTTCCTTTTTTGAGTTTTCAACGCAAAAATGTTTATGGTGTTTTTCTCTCTTTCAACTATATATTGGTGTGTCGGATATACAAACATTACTAAGGCACTATATTTTTTACTCTACTGCTGCGTATATTCTTGTTCGCAATAGTTTAGTGCCGTATATGAGAAGCTTCTATTCCCAATACTTCTTATTCAATTGCTGATCGAAGTAATACCGACCCTCTAACACTCATCGTACTATACTCCCATATGACAATTATGGACATCGTAATTATTCAAGGGAAGGGTCTTATTCCTTAGAACCTCAAATTCGTAGGATGAAAGAGCAACATGCACAAACCTTAGAAATATTGGAGGAGGCAAGCCAACAAATGATGCTATCTTAAAATGATAAACTCCTCTCCCACATCCTTAGCAAATAATATGGGCGAGCAATTCGAAAATGCTCATCGTCAAGCTAATGCTCCTCAAATCACTTTTGGTGGTGATAGGTTTGCCTCACTGAGATATTCATATTGATTCATGCCCAATCAAATTTATTAAATTTGAAGTTTGTATAATCTCATATTTAATTTTGAAAGTTTTAGATTCAAATATTCATTAAAATTCACACACAATTAAGACAATTTTTAATAATGTATCTAGTTTAATTATAACTATCTCATAGTTTGATTATATTAAAAGTAATCTATAAAGTATAAAACTTTATAACGTGTAAAATATTTCTTGCTGATATAATATATCATAATATCCATATATAATAAATATTTTTTTTTTTTTAAAAGCCTCATTGCAAAATAAGGTTTTCTTATCTAATTATTTAAACGCAACGAGGACTACTTCGCAATAATTCACGATCGCTACAGAGTCTATAATTCTGCCCTTCCTCGCTAACGATCCATTCCATTTGGTCATCCCCGATATCTAAATCCTCCCTCGCCGCTGGCGAAGGGACGGCCATTCTCTTGGAAATAATCTGCTATCTACTTCTCTTCCAATGGCGGAGCTTGCAGACGCGGAGGCATTATCGGCGGTGGCGGAAGATAGTCGGTCGGCGGCTCAGGCGTGGCGTGCGGTGATCGGGTGGGTGAGTATCGTCCTTCAAGTTGTAATTCAGTTCCTACGGTTCAGCCCCTCTTCGTGGGCGCAACTTCTCTCCTTCGTCGGCCTCCGCGACCACCCGCACTCTCTTCTCTCATCCTCCGCTCCTTTCAAGCCCCTTCCCTCGGACATCCCGGTCGAAATCTCCATGGAAGCTCCGATTTCAGCTCCTTCTTCAGTCACTTCCGCCGAAGCATTGGAGAAGCTCACGGTATGTCATTTCCCAGATCCCTCACTTGTTTTGTAAGGGAGTCGGCCTTTTTTTGGGTGCATTATAGCTTGTTCGTTTTGGAGGCGTATATTTTGTATTGAAGTATGCCTGTTGGATGGTTTGATGGAGTTGATATTAGATCGTGATGATGAGTTCGCCGAGTATTTTTGCGTAGAATTCTGCGAGGAAAAGCTTTACCCATTTTTGGCTCTCATAACTTTCTAAGATAAATTCGGTTCGCACTTTTTGAAATTGAGTGAGGAATCCCATTATCTCTTGATGAGTTCAGGGAAGTGTTTGGAAATGAACTAATGGGGTTCAAAATAGGCCTAATACACTACCTTCCAAACTCATTTCAACTGGGAACTTAAGTCAATGGAAGAGAGCAAACTACTAAGTATTTCCACGCCAATATATTTTTCATGTAAATATTATGTAACTAAACCCAATACTCTGATGTGTCTTAAGCCAATTAGAAGGGACTATAACTTCATTCATGGGTTTGAGATTGATGCATGGCATCAATGTCGAGGGATTTAGTGATTATTGTGATGAAAAATGATAGATTAATGTGAAAAGAATATAAATGGGAAGATAACTAAATAATAAGGGAAAAAGAAAAATAGAAAAGGTTGAATTCAAATAAAGGGCAAAAAGGAAAGAATGAGGTGCAATTCTTGTATCTCTTCTTTGTGTTTCAAACCTAAAATTTATGGACTTGACATTCCTCTTAGGACATTTTTTCTTTTTATCTATCAATGAATCGATGATAACTTAAAGGAACTCTGTTTATAGAGTATGATCTTTAATAACAAGAGAACTTACGAAAAAAATGACTAAAAAAGCCCTAGCTATAATAAAGCTTCCATAAAATCCCTATGAAAAAATAAGTCATGATGGAAAAAAATCATCTATAGTCCTGATAAAATAAATATAAGGGTATCAATGAACAAAAGGTTAACCTCTTTGTTGTGACAATACCCTCAATCTCGAAGTAATTTACTTTAGAGAGTGAGTGTAGTAATGCATTTGACTGAGTGTTGTAGTAAACAAAACAATACGGAGAAGGGGAAATGCCCATTAAAATATAGGAAGCATGAAAAAATAGAAGAGAATAAAGTGGGAAAGAGGCACGAGGTAGTTGTACTAATTAGGAGTAGGAGCATTCATCACCAATCAAAGGATGACAAGGAGCTATCGAGAGCAACCAATAGAGGGGTGTAGGCTCATATTTTAAAATATATATGAACTTCAAATAAGTTTGTGCAAAAATTGATTTATTAAAACTTTATGAGATACGAGTAATAAAAATATATATAGAATTCTTGTTGGTATGATACCATTGGATCATATTTTATGAAATTGACTGAGTGTGGACTACAATGTCTCTTGATAGGTTAAGTAAAAGGCTTAGAGATTGATCTTTGAGGCTCATTGTGATGCAAGGCTTCAATATGGAAGGCTTCATTGATCCTTTTGATCTAAATTATAGATCTATATGAAAATGATATAAATTAGAAACTAATTAAATAATAAGGGAGAAAGAAAATAGATGGGAAGGTATAATCCAAATAAAGTTAAAAATAGCAATTCTACTATTGAAAAGCTTCAATTAATGAGTCATAGTTAATATTGGAGAGAGCCATGGTTCGGTTCAATGACCTAATCCATAGTTCTGAGAAAGGGTTCATGTCAATGCCCTTAGGAGCGATTAGAGATTGAAGGGACACCATCTATATTGGAGCTCTCCTTTGGCAATCAAGTCATAATGGGTTAAAATCCACATGCAGAAAAAGAGAGGCGATAGAATTTATCAAAGAGCATGGATTTACACGCAATAAAAATAAATAAATGTTATGTGATAAATGTTTGGATTTATACATAAATATGCTTATAAATTTAGAAATATTTCTTTTTTATTTATTTACAAACATAAATGCATTTATAATATTAATAATATATATTTATTAAATCTTAACAAATATACATATAAAATAATAATAATAAAAATCTTACTCCACTCCCTCTCTTTGTTTTTTTTTTCCTTCTTTTTTTCCATAACTTCAATGGCACTTCTACTTCCTCCTTCCACCCTTCTACTTTTCTTCTCCTACATCATCCTCTTCTCCTTCTTTGTCCACTTATTCCTCTATTTTATTCTCCTCCCTCACTCTTTCTTGAGCAAGACTTTCTGGATCATTTGCTTCTTTATTCCTCTCAAAGGTCATGCATGACACTAAGGTATAATGAAGTATGATCTCACCTCTGCTTTAGCTCTTCTCTCCATCCTTTGCACTTCATGTTAAATCATGCATTCGGGCGACCATTCACACATGAGCTAGTGCATGCAAATGCAAACTAATGCACACAAATTCAACTTATTGCACATGCATGAGTGTGAACACATGTTTAGTAGCAATCATGCATGCATATGACCACGATTGCATGTACATGTGAGCAACTGTGCATACATGATCACAAATGCTTATTTCACTAACATTGCACACACATAGGAAACCTCATTATCAGGTCTTCTGAGGTTTAATGGGAGTTTACTATTCTTGTGTTTTCTATTTTGCTAACTTAAAAGTGCAATGTCAAAGAGCTCTTACACTTTTCGAGGTTTGGTGGGAAGCCCTTCCCTCCTCCTTAGGTTTGATATAGGGAAATACCACCGAATTTTATTTAATATTGTTATAAACTACCCTAATCCTTGTATGTACATCCAAAACCTCATGTAGTCTTTAAATTTTGCCTCAATGTTGTGCATCAATTGTGCATGCTTTTGTAGTCATGGCATGATCGACGACAAAAATTGTGTCCACACCTCTACAGTGCCTTGTGCACCACATTCATGCATTTCATTAAAGGTTTGATGGGGATGATTTGTTAGTTCTTTTTTAAGTCCCTAGTGGGGTTGGCATGATAGCTTCACCAAAATTAATAATAAAAACTTCTTATATTGAGCTCCTAATGAGTAAAATATTCAAACTCATTCAAAAAAATATGAACCTTAACACATGAATATACTTAAGAAATTAATGGATATGATACACATTGGTATAAAATAAAAATAGAGGATGTTTACGAGACAATGTATGATTGAAAACATTTAAAAAGTCACCTATTTGCACTTGAGCAAGCTCCTAATCATGAACATGAAGCAAGAATTGAACCTCAAGGCAAGGTACAAGCAAGGTTGAATGTAGCTGCCTTGCCTCCTCTTAAAGTAAAATACAAACAATACAAATATATGATATTCTACAATCATGTTACCATAGTTACTTCAACCTTTAAATAATCATAAAATATTTTGTAAAGTATCCAAAGTTATGGAAGCTGAACCAGACCCTCCATATGGAGTTAAAACCAATCGATTGCCCTGGCCTAATGTTCAATTGCATATAACCAACTTGGCCTGGTTGGGTACCTGACAAATCAAAAAGTCCTTGCCTTAAGGACATCTAATCACAATCCTTATAGATGTTGTTGAAGGTCTTAATGGCCTTATGTGGTGCAATGATGTCGATGATGTTTCCTAGGACCGCTAATTTAATTGCGGGCTTTGCTATGATATTTGATTATATATTTGCATAAGGTCCTCAAGGCCTTTCAATGCAAAGATTCATCCAGCTAACATGTCTTTGGGTTGCTTTGCCTTTAGTCCAAGGTCAAAAGTCCCACCTATGGGCGTCTCTATTAGTTGTGCTAAAAGTCCCATTCCTAGGCTCACTTAGGGTTTCAAGTCCCGTCCTTCTCGATTTTTTATCATTAGAGATGTAAAGCCCTAACTCTCAAATGAATTTATGTTATACATTTGTAGTAGGAAACTTAAAATCAAATGGTATGTTTGTATACATACGACTTCATTTGATCCTATGCAAGTGGCATAGTCAACACAACCTATAAATAGACAACCATCATATGCAAATGAAAATAAAATATTCTTGTCCCTAGTCGAGTTGATCTATCTCGCCAACTATTTAGACTATCATCTCAATTACATAGTTGATCACACAATGAAAATAAAGTTCTCGGATCTGCTCCGATAGTAAGATGGATAATAGAGGTCACCTATATTAGAAAAGAAAACTTATAAGTAAAATATAAAATATAAAGAAGATTCATGGCAACCAGTGCATGATTTTATCATCTCGCTTTTGTATTCTTACACGTGAAAATAATTCTCTAATCCCCTATATTAGGTATGATTATTATAAAATCATAATAGAAGAGTTTCCTGATATTGTTTGCGAAACCAATCTTTCCATTAAAAAATCAAGCAAGATACACAAGGCACCACATACCTTGATGATGGATTTGATTATTGTAAATCATTCTTAAAGGGATTTTAGTCACATATCACATCCCTGATTATAATGAAAATTTAATCCGAAGACTCCAATCCATAATGACAAATGAGGTTATCATAAGATCATACTCTTACGGATAATCATCCAAATGAATTTGAGATAATCAAAATTCAAAGCCCTTAATGGTCAATCTTTTCAACCAATCAACTTGATTCTGTAGCAAGACAAAACTCAAATGCTCTTAAAGCCTTACAAAAAGAGCTAAAAAAGTAAAAGAATAGTCAGTTTGCTAACTTAGGATTTAGTTTGATAAAGATGATCGACATTTTGAGTTGCTAACTATCTTAGTCACCAACAAGCTAAAAGAAGGCCATGTGGGATAGTCCCCAACCTAACATGTTGACAATCGAGCCAGTGTTTTGTAACTTCTCTAGTTTGAAAAACGCTACAACAATGTGGACTAAAGATAATGTTCCAATAGTTTTAGAATTTTGTGATTGTAATGAAGATATCAAATAATTGGATCTCATCTCTAATTTTGAATTTGTTTTCTCTGATGATGTGTATGATCATAGCAAATTATCATTGAAATAGTCTATATATGTGTTGAAATGCCCCTAAATCAATTACCAAGTAGTTGAAGATCACTAATGTAATCATTATTGACTGGTGCCTCTATCTCAAAAA